GAGTGGAGATAATTGGATATGGGAGTGTACATGGAGACGTTGTTGTGGAGGGAGGGTAGGTAATGAGGAAGAAAAGTTTAAGGAATTGGTTAAGGGGGTGAATCTGAAATCAAGAAGAGTAGATTCTTGGAGGTGGGTTCATAGTTGTGATGGTATATATGCGACGAAAGATGCTTATGGTTTTTTAACATCTTCTGATTGTCTCCTAGATCGGAAATGGACAAGGATTATTTGGTGTAAGTATGTTCCGTCTAAAGTAAGTGTATTTGGGTGGAGATTATTTTTAAATAGCTTGGCAACTAAGGAGAATTTAGGGAAGAGAGGGGTTTTGCTAGAGGAGAATGTTGGCTATGGATTATGTAATGAGGAGGAGGAGAAACTTAATCATATTTTTTGTGAGTGTAAAAGGACATGGGTAGTGTGGATGCAGGTTTTGCGTTGGTGGGGTTGGCAAGGTGTCTTGCCAAATGACATTTTTGGAATGGCAGAATTTGTGGTGTGTGGGATAAGAGGGGGATGTGTGAAAGATCTGGGAGCGTTAATTTTTTTAGTTGTTGCTTGGTTTCATTGGTGCTGGAGAAATATGAAGGTGTTTGGGACAAATGTGAGGTCAGAGGTGTTGCTGTTGGAGTTAATTCAGAACAAATCTTTTCTATGGTTAAGAAATAAAGAAAATGGGTGTGTATTCTCTTATTATAATTGGATATCAAGACCTATGGAATGTGGAGATGCTATTGTGCAGTATCGCAAAATTTGAGAAGATACAAGCAGTAAATTACAGCTATAAGCTGATTTCTTTTTCTGTTCTTTCTTACCAAAGGTGTAATTCTTTACAAGTATTTTGTTCTAGGCTTGTAATTTGACTTCTTTTTTTTTTTTTTGGAGTATTCCTTATACTCGTTCAATAATATCTATTGGTTTTTGCTGATAAAAAAAAATTATTGTCCTTAAGAAAATGGCTTTTTATGCTTACTTGGACAATAAATTAATAAATAATTAAACAAGAGACATGTGGGACCCAAAA